CACCAATGCAGGCAGATGCTAACCCTGAGTCGGTGGAAATAAAACATCGTGAAATAAAATATAATGCAAAAATTAAATTCAAAGTCGGTGATAACGTTCGTATCAGTACACAAAAGGGTGTGTTCACAAAAGGTTATTTACCAAACTGGTCTACAGAAATATTCGAGATTATCAAAATAAATAAAACATTACCAGTTWCATATCAGTTACATGATTATATGGGTAAACCTATTGCAGGTTGTTTTTACTCTGAAGAAATATTCAAAACTAATTTCCCTAACGAATATTTGATCGAAAAAATTATACGTAAAAAACCTAACCAAATATTTGTCAAGTGGCTTGGATTTAATAATTCACATAATAGTTGGATAAATACACGTGATGTTARAAATAGAGTCAGTCGTTTTAAAACTATGAACGTGTTTGGTAGTTCACAAGCTGGTGATACTTAGAGAATTCTATCAGATATTCAGACAAGTAACAAATCAATTCTAAATAAAGTGGAACTCCAACAAAAAGAAATCGATAATTTGAAAAATTATTTCGTTAATCTACAAGAGAAGATACAATTGTTGGAAAATAATATAAAAACAAACAATAAGTCTTTATTAAATTGCGAAAATCGTATGTCGAAGCTATTTAATGACTGTGCTGAAACTAGTACCAGTATCCAGGGACAATGGACATGACTTGATCCAATTAAAAGCTGAAATAAATCGTATAACCGGAATATTTGATGAAAATTCATTACTGAATCATGGGGAATATATTTCAGAATTAAATTCACGTTTGGCTATCGTCGAAGGAAATTATATTAAGAAAAATGAAATTTATACAACAGCTGGTTAAATATATGAGATATTGGAATATAATTTCATTCGATCTGTAAACCTCTTCGTGACTGGTAGTCCTCTGTTTGTGATATAAATTTAATTTTTCATAAATTTAACGAGTTCATAAAAACAAGTCAATGTATTCAGCCATCTTAGACATGCAATGTGTTCTTGGAGCTGGCTCTAGTGTTGCCATCAGTTTTTGGGCCTTCGAACCTGCGGGAATAGTGATTTGCKGAAGAAATGGAAGSTCATTATGCCGATCGTGCAGTTCTTTTGGATAAGCTACATCCACCTCATAAATCCGACCTACAGGCGATTTTCATTAAAATCGTTCAATCCTTCAAGTGAGGGTTTAACCCACTCAAATCCTCCACTGGGCATGTACTCACTCATTGAATATCCATACAAATTATTACCTAAGCATATTTAATAAGATAGTTTATTAGTCTATTATTTAAAAATAATAATACTTTTTTTCTTTCAATCTTGATAAACCAACCACGATTTTTCTTTCTCTACATCATATTCGGGAGCCTTCTCATTATTTGCTTTTGCATACCGCATGMTCGCCAGCACCAGTCCACCGCGAATACCTATTTATTTCAAAAAATTATAAATCAAAACTTTTAAACTTTAAAACTTTTTTATACCTTTTTCAATAATTAACACCATCTCATAATCCGACAGAAGGTCCAATTTAATCTCAGTTTTTTTCAACATGCAATCGAAAGACATTCCAGGGGCTGTGTAATAAAATKCCGGGTCGATTGAATACGAAAATTCAAACACACATCTAAAAAGTTTTCAAAGACGTCAGATAGTAACAGCACATCGATTTTTAAGTATAAATCTGAGTATTCTCCGAGAGTAATACACCCAAAGTGTCGCCAAACCTTCTCAGCATGCTCATACTCTTCATCTTCAATCCCAMATTCCTAAGCGTGCTGTAAAATTCTTCTTTTCTAGGTAATCTATTTTCATCTAGTTTCCCCCAACTATCAGTATATCAGTATAGTCATAAGGATATACGCCTTTGCGAGAGACGAGTGCCATATCTCCAGCGACAAAATGTTTTGATGTCTCGCGGAATTTTTCAAGCTCTGGTTTTATGAGGTTTTCAGCCAATCTTTCCAAGCTCGACGCCATAAACCTTATAGTATCGATAAACCGAATAGTGAAAGTACTACTTAAATATTTTGAAAAAGATATAAATTTCTCTTCACTATTCGGAATAACAGTAATAGTTTTAGTATCGTATGCGAGATTAGAAATAATAAAATTAGAGTCGTAGTTGCTCAAGTTATGAAAATAACACGGAACAAATTTTGGCTGTATTAAGGCAAGATTGCATTTAGAACAAAGCGTCTATCTAAATTTACCACTCAAGTGACAGTGGTCTCTYACTTTTTCCCTACCTATTATA